AAGTTCTTGATGACTTGTCACAATTTGTAACCACCTCGCCTGGCAACCATGCGGTTCCCCACTCGAACCCCAGTGAGCGTTTGGTCCCCATACGGCGTGAGCCAACTCCTCTTACTTGTAGCTACATTCACACTGGACCAGCTAGAGCAAACAATCCCAAGCATCGCCACCAGGTCCGCAACTTTGCCATTGAGGATTGACCCCAAGGCCAACCTGAACACGCCGGTGCCCTGAGAAAAGCACACCCTGCAAATCATAACATACGCCAAACAGGGCCCTCAAGAAATCCAAGAAACAGGAAACCTGATTCCCCATTGATGTCAAAAGCAGAGCGTGGGTGCACTGTATGCTTACTCTCTGAGGAGGGCGTGTCAAGATTGATGTCATGGGCGGCACATCGGTATCCACACCAGGACGCGAGCTTGCTTAAACGCGCCTTTCCACAAAACATGTCCAGGAATTCCAAATCCATTTGGTTGGAAGGCCAAGCAATCCAGGACACCATGATGGTGATCAAAACGAAGTCCTCACAAGAATTGAAAGCGCAGCTCCCGCAAGCAGAGCTGATGCAACAAAATGTTGAACAGTCAGGGTCCTTTGGGGTTCCCAGGGCTATCAGTTGTCGTACCAGCATATCCAACTCAATTGGGTTCATTGCGCAACGGGGCAGGGCTGACTTCAAGTCTGCTAAGCGTTTTGCTGGCAGCTGCGGGTCAATAGCGGACGCAAAGCCTCCTCACAAGAAAATGCCACCAACATGCACATGTAATCATGAGCCAGGTCGACCCTGCAAGCCACCCAGCTTCGCCAGCCAGTTCATGTGCCGCGCCATCACTCCTGGAGTGAGGGCCGGGCTAAGATTGTTCTTTTTACTTCTAGTAGATGCCCTGCGCTTGCGAACCCTCCAGGCTTTTGTCCCGATCTGCCCGCGGCTATCACCTTGAAACTCTCTACAAGGCTGCCACAATAGGTCCATCCTATTGTGGACCCCCCTGAGTCCTAAAGGAGCCTCCCCTGGATCCTCACTCAAAGGATTACTTAGCGAAGCACAACTAGATAGCAAACAGAATCTAGCTGCGGTTGAAGCTCAAAAGATCTCAAAAGTATTCGTTCTACAGACAGATTGCAGAGGAGGTCATCAAAATGCTTCTAGGCCACGAGCTTTCTACAGGATAATGTCTCAGTTACCCCAACTCAGCGAAGGCAGGTCACACACATAACGCTTCAGGAAGGTGTGACAGGCCCTGGACACAAAATGACAACCGTTGGCTCACTTGCCTCCCATGGTCTTTCCATTCTCCTCAGAACATGGAGGGATGCGTTAACAGAGATCTTAACAAGAATGGGCGCAACCACCACAGGTACCAAAAGAGGTGAAGAGAACGCAAAAGCGATACCCACGTTAAGAATCCTTAACGTCGGTATCAATTTTGAATAGGATTTCTAGACGAGGAACCTTGGACTGCTTCAGATATTCGGTGGCCATGTTCACGGCCCGCTCGTAGATAGCCAGAAAGGTGGCGGATGCAGGTAGCTCGGAGAAGCCCTTCAGCATGCAGAACTTGAAGAAAAGCAACTGTCAGGGAGTCAGGGGCTAACAAGTCATAACATGTCAGTTGAAAGCAAAAACGGGTCTTGCTGTAGTACAAAGGACTTTGTGGGATACTTCTTGAAAAACTTAAGAGAGGTTGAAGGACACCTTTAGCTTTGGGATTCCGGTCTAAACTAAACCCTTTGTATCCTTTCAACATCTTTGTAAGGTTCTAAAGTTGCATTGGTCTTGCTCATGGAACTTTTTCAAGTCCCCCCACCTGATGCTTGGATGGAGGTCCGACCTTATCATTGATCTTTTCGAAGAACACTTTCATGATGGCCTCAAAACGCAAGCTGCCTGGGCTACCATCAGCTTCTGGAATGTAGCGCCCCGCAAAAGTCTTTGGCTTCTTCTTCGGCTTGGATTCCTCCTTCTCCTCCTCCTTCCCCTCACCAGCCTGCTTCCTCTGCCGCTTCCGGCGTGAGGGTGCTACCTCCTCATCCTTCTCCTGGCCCTTCTTCTTCCTCTCACACTTTGGGCCAGAAGCTGCTGCCTCAACATCCTTTTCCTGGTCTTTCTCTTCACGAGCGTTCTTTCTTTGCCGCTTCGGACGTGGAACTGCTACGTCCTCATCCTTCTCTTGGTCCTCTTCACCAGCCTTTGTCGCGTGCCGCTTTGCAACTCGCCCTCCCTTCTTCGTCTCCTTCTTGGCTGGCTTCTTCTTGACTGGCTTCTCCCCACCCTTTCCTTTACCCTTGGCCTTCCTTTTCTGCTTGTCCTCTTTCGGCTTTGGAAAGGCAGCATGCTGTTCAATCCTGTTGAGGAGCGGTACCTGAGGCGATGAAACAATAACCCACACGAAACGAGGAGGACCACTAGTATACACCAACACCCTAAAAACTTGCAAAACAAGGATAGCCAAGGGAATGTTCAATACTTAATTTTATCTTGAGCCTGAGTTGCGTTCAAGTTCAGCAAATCAGATGTGTTCTCCATCTTTGGACCATTCGTAGTGGGAGTACCGGTGGTAGCTGGTTCAAGAACTGGTTCATCCTTCTCTTCAGCGCTGTCTAGAACAGCAGCACCGGTGGTAGCTAGTTCAAGAACCGGTTCATCCTTCTTTTCAGCGCTGTTTGGAGTGGCACCTGGTTGGCTCTCACTGGTGGCCGGGCCAGTGGAAAGTGCAGGGACCAGCTCATCCTTGTCCGCAGAACTGGCTTCCAAGCGTACCTCCTGAACAAGGGTCCATAGTCAGGAATCAGGAACCATTCGCGACAAAACAATTAAACTGGAGTGCATTGTGCTTTCGACCCAATTCTTTTTTTTGAAAAATAGCTGCCCAAATTGTATCCTTCTGGTCTTTGGCCTCCGAATCATGCTCAGGGTCACTGTCGACGTTGATGGACTCAAAGCTGGGCGGGGGGTAACGGGACCTCGTCTATGTTGAAGGGGAGCGTTGTCAAGTTATCCGGCGAGGTGCCTTGCTTGGCCACTGAGTTTCCCACCCCCACCTATTCATTATTTGTTTTCCCCAAACTCCAAACTCCAAATTAAAAGCTTCAATTGAGGGACACCACCAAGATGCAGGAGCTGGTCTCACGCAGAAGGTCCCGCTTCTTAAGCTTCTCCCTCCACAGGGAAACATGCCTAAAGGCAAACATGCACAAACACAGACACACACACACCCCTTTTATTTGACATCTTTTCCACAACTTCATGGCCTTAGGACACACGCACGGGCCATCATTTGACTGTGGAGAGTTTTCAAATCCTCCACGCCACCATCATGAGTCGGCTGCTGGCGGGTCGCAATCATCATGATAAAATCATCAACCTTCTCCTTCTCGAGTTTGTCCGGTTGCCCATCAGGCGCGGCGGCCGCATCAGCATCTTTAAGACCAGACTCGCTCCCCTCTTCAGCCTCATCCTCAGTGGCTGCAGGAGTCGGAGGGCCAGGGGTCTTCACACACTCGACGGAAGGCGATGAAGGCAAATAGAGCTCCTGGGAGGCCTCGACGGGGCACTTGTCTTTCTCTGACTCTAGTGGTTCTGCCAGTGTATACCCATCCTCAACCTCTCCAACCTCACCATCCTCAATGGCAAGTGGGGTACCAGCGGCAGCATCGCCATTGGCAGCATCACCCTTGGCATCGCCATCGCTGCGCCCCCAAGAATGGTCGAAGATTCGCCAGAGTTCAGCAAGTCGGGTGTCCTCACAGAGTCACAGGAGTAGTGGGATTGAGGATGTTTACGGGGTTGTGCCCAGAACTGGTTTTCTAGCTTGTGGAAACTGACGTTCTCAACTATCCTTCCAGCTTCTTGGTTCAAAGCTTGCCCAATATCAAAACAAGAATCCCGAGGGGTTGTGGCGCCCGAAGCCCAGCGTCGGAGCTGGTGAGCAAACAGACGCTTCAGACCCCAAGCGTCGACAGCCAAACATCGAGGATTGTCATCGAGAGTCATCAGCGCCCTTGTTTTCTCAACCTGTGCCGGTTGAAGAGGGGTGATCGAGGACAAAGAACAGTGGACCACAGGCGATTTGATTTGCAAAAAGTTAACTCTAAAACCTCTTGTTGTTGTATAGTTGGTTTGGACCCAGGCCTCACGTCGCAGAAGGTCTATGGGGATGCTGCAAGGATCATCTTGTTGGGAGGTCCACCACAAAGCAAGCTTCTCCAACACAACAGCATTTAGAGCTGAAGCTGGGCAACTTGGAACACCGACAGCCTTTTCATCAAGCCACCGGGTCAGCATACCATCCTCCCTAAACCGATCACGAATGCGATAATCACTTTCGAGAAAGCGGGGGAGATCGGCCATGAGCTCCAAGTCAACCGAATCCGCAAATGCCATGTTTCAAGCACCTTTCTCTACCAAAGTTTGACCAAAAGGAAATGGCTACAAGGCAGCTTTGTGTGAAAACTTCCTTGGATGCGTTCCACCCTATGACCACTCAACAGTCCTCAAGCAAGATGAAGTTTCTTCTCACCAAGCCATACGTGTACCTGCTCAGGTCGGATAGCAGATGGCTGGAGTCTGGATCAGCGGACAAAAAGCGTGGCGCACGAGAAGCCGTCGCAGGGCACGGTTGGAGCAGCTGGCGCCGTGCACCAGACAAGATAGAAGATCTTGTGAGCCAAGATCTCAAGACGGCGCTATAGTTAATACACATGGTGGATATAGTGGTGAGAAAGGATCAATGGGGCATATCAATGTCATGTACAAGTCACCAGGTTCTCCAATGTACATCAATGTACTGAAAACCTGAAAATTGTCCGGAGACAGAAATTTCTGCCGTTCCACTGAAACTACAGTTTTATCTGAAACTCAAGAAAAAAAAGCAGCACAAGGAAGTCGCAGGTATGATAACTATGAAAAAGGACAATCTATACCATTCTAATCCATTCTATACCTGAACACATGACCTCGTCCTGAATCTTCCTCGGATTTCACTCATCTTCTCCAGGAGCGCCGCTCCCGACCGAACTTGAAGCGCTTCGGGGAGACTCTCCATCGAGGCAGGGCACGAACTCCGTCCGGGAACGTGGCGGCACGGCCGCCCGGGCTCGGTGACCGGCGAGGAGCGTTCGGGTTCGGAAGGGCTCCCAAAAAGGAAGTTCGAGAAGCACCTGGGGGTTCGAAGGGTGGGGTGTTTGGGCGTGAAAATGAGGCTGTTTAGTCATGAGTCGACCCGTGTAAGGACCTCCGAGAAATGAGTACCCGTAAGTACCTCTATTTTGTTCACGTCGTGTCCCATTTTCTAAGGTATGGGGGTTCCACTCGGGTTCCAGATATAGAGAAACCATGGCCATGTATGGCCATGTAATAGCGTTGTACCATCTAAGTGTGTTTGGATGAATCAACCGATCTACATGGAGGGTATGGAGGGTAGAAGGAAGATTCGTTTGGAAACTCCTCACAGTTGTTGTTTTTCCAAGAGCGGCTTGACGCATCTTTGGATCCCAGTTTGTTTTGGTGGGGGTTTAAAGCTCAAAGCTCAAAGATCAAGCAATGAAGAATACATCACAAATCTATACAAGTCCGCAGAAGCCAAGAACAGGCTCATCCAAATATATAATGCCCATCTAGCCAGGAGATGCCGAGTTCGGATGGTCCAGGTTTGATATCATCATCATCATCATCATCATCATCATCATCATCATCTCACTGGAATTCCTGACTCAACTTTGGATTTAAAGATGTTTCGTGGCCAATTTCTTGTTTTTTGTTTGTCCTGAAAGGTTAGGGACAAGGGACTCTGGCCTTTTCCGGTCTGCCACAAGCCGTGCGCACGGCTCAGGGTCATGGCTGATGAACAGTTGACCTGAACAACATCACTTAGACTTCTTTTTGTGTGCGTGTGTGTGGGGTGGTGGTATTGTTGAGTCGAAACTGCAGGAGGGTGGCAATGACTGATGGGATGTGAGAGAAGCAGCCTGTCAGGACGGACCCTGTCAGATGATGATGATACAAGACTCAGATGCCCTAGGGATCCAAGTACCTTCTCAGAAGGTGATTGGAGACACTGTGCAATAGCCCCCAGCTCGTATAGGACCAGAGAATTGGGATGACTGCCGGTACAAGATGCAATAGACACTCATGTTGTCCATACAGGTCAAAACAGATTTTGTCCGGCAATGCCAGGGTTGTCTCATACTTTTGATCAAGGCGAATGGTTGAATTACCCACTTAAGCAACATGCACTGTGTTTAGCCCGGCTTTCCTGACGTTTATGTATGGAAAACATGTTATGGGAGAAACACTTGTGGTAAAAGGAACAAGTACACGTCCCAGGGGCGGCAGGTGTTTTTCGTCCTGTGTTTTACTTGGGAACGATCGGACTATAATATCATATCCCATTCCTAACCGAAGTTCAATTTCCCCGCCAATTCAGTGGCCTCGACACCCAAGTTTGAACGATTCTTTGCACCTCGACATCGATTCGGAACCACTCCACAGACAGCTCTTCCAGACCGGGATCCAGGTGTTCGTACCGAACCGACCTGGTTCCGTTACTTTCCTGGACCCGACGTGACTTGGCACCTACATGTCTCAGTGGTGTTATGTACTTTCCTGGATCCCTAGAAAGATGGATTCCCATTTCCCGTCCCATGCTCTCAGAGCCTCCGTTGCTTGGAACACACTGGGCGCACTGCTCCGGTCCGAGCGGTCCATCGCCACTCGGAGTGGGTCGTCCGTCGTGCGACTCGCAGGCGCCGTGCCTCGGAGCCAGCTGAGCCCTGCGAAGCTGAGCATCCTGCTGGTGGTGCCCGATGGAGTGCGGGAGCTCACTGGATGACTCCAAATGAACTACAGGGTGGGACCCAGTGGGACCTGTTTGGGGGACTGAACCACTTACCTTCTGTTTGTGTCTTTTTCGATTTGGGATGGTTTTGGAGTGGTTGAACGTCTTGAACATGATGGTGAATCTAGGTGTACTAGGACCCTCCAACCGGTCTCCGCTGGAGGCTTTTGTAGACTTTGTAGACTTCAAAGTCACAAGTGCTGACCTGTTGGAGGGTGCATGTATGATTGTATATACATTCATTATGTGTACATTCTATTATTCTCTACATGGAAGTGAAGTCTTCAAACCGCCTGTATTTGTCCACTTCGCCAAGGGACACGCACAGATGCTACATCACCGGTCGACGCGACCCGTCATTCCAGTAGTGTCCTGCAGGCAGGACACTGCAGTGTCCTGCCTGCGAGCTGGACCCTGGAAACTTAAGCATTTCGAGATGCATTCCTTGGCGTCCAACAGCACACCTCTCTGGACTTCTTTGACCATATCCATTCACTTCCATTCACTCCCTGACCATGAACAATGAACATCGATCTATGAACATCCCCCGATCCCCCGCCCCACACCACACACCTCAGGCGCCAGGACCGCCGTTCTTTCCGTTCCGAGGGAACCGAAGAGATCTTGGAACGAACCGTGCGCAGCCTGGTGGAAGCTGGAGGGTGCCGGATCCCAGCACGGGACCGGTCACCGGTGGGCAGGCATTGATTTCGAGGAAGACATGGGGTGGGGGACTAGGACACCTGTAAAGAATGAGGAAAAGAAGAACAATGACTATTTGGGAGGAAGACATGCAACCTAGCCATAATCATCACCATCATCATCATCATCATCATCTTCTTCACCATAAACCATAATAGTAATAATAATAATCATCATCACCATCATCATCAGCTTCATCTGTTACAAGGAATGGTATGTACCGATGTACCCAACATATATGAACTCATGCTTCGATGTTTACTGCGGTCTTGGTGGGTCCATGTCCCCCACGATCCCCTATACCTGCAGTCCCGAATTACTTGGCATGTGAGTCTTTCATTCCCATGGCTGTGCTGATGAAAGCTTGCTCTGGCTTTCACCGTGGAAAATTGGAGACGCTTGAGGGATAGAAAGCCATGAAAGGGTCGAGTCGGGTGCCTCTAAACTCTTCTCTCAAAGCATCCACTCATATTGCCTTTCAGAGCTTCAAACTCTGGCTTTCCCCTACCGGCCGCCGGTGGCTCCGTTGGAGTTGGAGGCCAAAGCACCCCTAAGAATCCTGAGACCCGACCTCTTGGCAGGGGTGTGGATCCGAACCAAACCCTTTCCATGTGAAAAAACGGGCCCAGAGAGGCCCAGATTCTTAGGGATCCAGTGATGAGTTGCAGGGATCCCACCGAAGTCTGTGGGGAAAGACGGAAGTTGCAGCGGCCTCGCCTGATCAATTCCATCTCTTTGGGCGATCGCTAAGCACTTGGAGAAGATGCTGAGACGATGCTCTCTACATTCTCTATACCTGTTCTTCCTCAGCTCCTAGCTCCACTCACCAATTCACTTGAGAATACCATCAGCTACTAACCTTTCCCTACACAGATGCCCAGAGTGGAACTCTGACTTCACTACTTCTCACCCCTCCCACCTCACTCACCCACCTCCTCTCCCACCTCCTCTCCCACAGTCCACCACCTCAACCACCCCCGCCATGTCTCCTCGTCTCCACCACCATCCCAGCCACCCAAGGTTCGCGGCACCGTCCCCCAGGTTCGCGGCCTCGGCGGTGCTGCTGGCGCACACCGAGCCCAAGTTGTGGATCGCCAACCTCGCAGAGACCTACGACCTCTCGCGCCTCCAGGCGAGCGCGGAGCAGGGAGAAGACGGGTCGGGCGATGGAAGCGGAGGGAAAGAAGTGGGGTGCACTTGGAAGATCAATTGGAAGTGGGAAGTGGTGTTTGTTTGCTGATGGAAGATCCAGTCATGACTCATATAGACTGCCCATGACTACCCCATCAGAATATGAAGTGAAAAAAAAGTGATGCCATATCTAGCCTAAATAGGACGGACCGACTTCCTGACTTTCGCGTGGCTCGTTCAACGAGGTCAGTGCCTGCTTTTTGAAGTTCCTAGAGTACCAAATTCTTCTTGCATGTTCATCATCCAGCGGAGCTCCAACAAGTCCGTCAATCTTCTTCGATTTAGTATCTAGTTGGCACACTAACTTACAGTGTTCTGTTCAACATTCTGATGAGATCTTCGTGTTCACCGCATTCTTTATGTGCAATAGGACCCAGGACCCGTCCCTGAACAAACAGCGCGGCCTCCGCTCCTGCCGTGGAACAGCCGCGTCCTCCAGTCCGCACCGCTGTCCGGTCGGACCGCAGGTGGAGTTGGATCAACGGATCCGTTGGGACCAGGCGCGGCGCGCGGCCCTCTACAAGGCGCGGTAGACGGTTCGCGGCTCGCGGGAGGGAATCGCGGTGAAGGATCGCGGAGCGCGGTGCGTGGAGCGAAAGGCGACCGCAGGTGGAACGTGCTCGTTTTTTTTTGGGTTTCACAGTAGGGTGCAGTGTAGGTGAGCTGAGTGGCTCATCCGTGACCCACGGCCGTGGGACGCTATACCCCGTTTTGCCACGGGATAGGAGAAGTCCGTTGCCCTCACGGAAGACGAGTTTTTTAGTCTTGCAGGATGTGGCCTGGAGACGAGGGTGTCGAATTGGCTTGGAGAGGGGCCTAATCAACACCAGCAACTCGGAGGATTTGAATGCCCAAGTGTATTTGGTGGCAATTAATGCATGCGGAAAATCGTGCGGCTCATGCCCTATATGGAAGTTTCTGAAAAGAAGATGCATGTATTAGTTATGTGTTATGTTTATGTTCGGTTCATAGAGACATTGATCATAGACTAAATCCCTTATACTTGATCTATAATCAGGAATCCACCCACTGGAACCCCTATTTTTCCGGGATTTTTTTCAGGGTTTTTCCGGGATTTGTTTTCGTGTTTTGTCCCCTACTGCTGTTGCTTTTTGTTTTTGCTTTTGCTTTTGCTTTTGCTTTTTGCTTTTGGCCTTTGCTTATGCATTCGCTTTTTGCTTTTGCTTTTTGCTTTTTCTTCTGCTTTTGCTTTTGCTTCTGCTTCTGCCTTTGCTTTTGCTTTTGCTTCTGCTGACTATCTTCTTTGCATTGACACTGCCACAAAGTTGGATGATAAGATCTTCACCTTGAGCTTTGACACCCAATTACACCAATCAAGAAACGAAGCAGCCCAGCGCTGTCTATATTTGATTTGCATTGCGGGGGAGGCGCTGCGCCCTCCCCCGCACCCCGTCCCGCTTTTAATTTTTCTTTTTTAATAGTTGCCACTACCGTCCACCACCCCTACTATTTCCAATACCTCTATCACTCAGACCACCCCGCTACGAGTCTTACCACAGTTACCGCAACTACTATTTTCTTTGCGTTGACGCTGCCACAAAGGTGGATTTCTACTTTGCTTAGCCCCAAGAAACCCGAAACCGCTGAAACCCAACGACAACCGCAGAAAAGTCACTATTATAGTTCCTCTCTCCTCCTACTTCTCCTTCGTTAAGTGGGATGCCTTTTCCAGAAGAACGCCTAAAGAAACCCTAAAGACAAGAAACCGAGCCCAAAGAAACCCGAAACCAGTGAAGCTAAAGATAACCGCAAAGAAGTCCCTAGTAAGTGGAATACCTTTTCTGTTCCCTCCCTTTGTCACTGTCACGCTGGCTTTGGTGCTTCGTCCCCTGCCCTTTCTGCTGCTCCTAGCAAAAGCAAAAACAGTAGGGGAAAAAACGTGAAAACAATTTTCAACAAAAATCAGAAAATTCCCGGAAAAAAAACATCCTTATTGATACATTGAATTACGTACCATATGTTGTTCAATCTCGATCTTGAAGGATAGGGAGTGCATTTTGTCCATTCTTCTGTGATGGCGAAAGCTCATCCTCCTGATGTGCCAGAAGTATGTGGGGTGAAAGGATGCATCTTGGCCTGATAGACTTCCATCGCGTATCAGTGATTTGATCCAAGCAGCTGTCAAGCTTTGCCTTGGGTGAAGTACGAAGCCTCCCAGCTGGCACTCTGGCTGGAGTTCTTGGACTGCGAATTGTGTCCCTGGCCTGAATGCAATAGTTCAATGTGCCAGTCCTGCAGGCGATTTGTGTTCCGAGCTACCTTTTTTGGCGCTCGGTTTTCTTTGGAAACAAGTTCTGGCAGCTCGCTGTGCCTGGAGGTGAAGGCCTGAAGCCTTGGCCCAATCACCACGTTGGAGTGTCAGCACCTTGCATTCACTCAGGGGGGCAGGCGTGTGGGCTTGAAATGCCGAGCGCCACTGTTTGTTTGCGCAACCTGAGTGGGAAGCCAAGGTGGCGCTTCTACATACAGTGAGCAAGCTGATGCAGAAGCTCAAGGACCTGATTTGGATATATTTGGATAACCCAGATCATTGCTGGGAGGTCCTAGAAACACGCTTTCCACATGGGGACATAGTCAAATGTGGAGCCACTTTAGAGCATTGAGAAAATTTGCAAGTTCTATGTTGGCTCCTTAAAGACAAAGACGCCCAAGGCACCTTTGTCGGAATGGTTTTTGACAGATTTTGGATGAGACTGAGAATACCAGCACCAAGAAGAAACGTATGGATTGGCAGATTTGTTGGGTGCAAACCCACCGAAAACCAGTTCCCTGCAAGAGCCGCAGCTCATCCCGAAGCCGTGGATGCGGCCGTGCGATGCATGGCCGGACCTCCATTGCGGCGGCATGGTGCCAGGGTTATGGCAAAGATACTTCGTGACTTTTGGTACTTGAGGCTAGCTGAGGTACATCAAGTGAACTTATTGAACTTATAACATAAGTTACTTATAGCTAGAAATAAGTAGAAACTAAGTAGAAATTAGCTAGAAATAGCTAGAAATAGTTAGAAATTACCTAGAAATACCCAGGAAATAAGTAAAACTTAGATATGTCTAAAATATGTGGTTTCTTATGTTTTTTTCCTATGTTTTCTCTTGAACATATACAAGTTTTATAAAACAATTCTATGCGGCCTAAGGGACGCTCTGATGCAGCAGAGCGGCCGTGAGGCCGCTTTCCTTTTTTCTTTCAAGCAGCTAGCCATGTTTTTTTGCTAAATGGTTTCGACCATTTAGCATAGTATTCTTTATCTTTACCGCCACGGCGGCGTTTTCGGCCTCCACTTCATCATGAAGATCAGATCCGACTAGATCTCTATTAGAAAAATTGAGCCAAACTTCAATACATCATCCAAATTATGGTTTCAATCTATCTTTGAAATTTTACAAGAACTATATATTTAGACATAAAATATTGATTGTTCTTCTTGATTGAAAATGAATGTATTGGAATGTATCGGAATGTATCGGGTCATCCTGGGGAGTATGAAAAGTAAAGCCAATACATTCCGATACATTCCAAT